CCCCCCTGCCATACCGGCTGCTACTCCAGCCTGGAACATTCTCTTCTCTGCTCTTTCAAACTACAAACAGCCTTCCATTCCTTTACGTTCTGCTTAAACTCACCACTTCCAGACAACCTTCTCAGACTAATTCCTTCTGCGTTGGAATGAGTACATCTAAGTTAGCCCAGAGCTCGGGCTATGGGAAGATGGGGTCAAGGAAAAGCATTCTGGCAGGATGCTTAGCATGCCTTTCTAGAATGACATGCCTCTGAAGTCTTTCCCCACCCTATGGGCTTTGTGAGAAAACACAGCTGCAGGGAGTCCCCAGGGTAGAGCAGGTGCCAGCAGTCATGAAAGAGGCTCTACAGCAGATGGGTAGGAAGAAGTCAAGGGGAGCCGAGTGGGGCATACCGTGACCATCATCCAGGAGCTCTGTGAGGTACACAGCACTGCAGGGAGACCAGGGCAGCGTCTTGTTCACATGGATGAAGAATGGCGCCATCATGTGGTACTTGCCCATGGACCCAAACAGCCTCACACAGGGCTTAGAATCATCATGGGGCATGCTGAGAACGTGCCCTAATTGGGGGTAGGGAAAGCAGAGAACTATGGTCCATTCCAGCTGCCCACCCCTCCAAGTGCCCTGTCCTGCCTGTATGTCCCTATATGGTCAGCAGTGTTGATGGGTCCAACAGTCCTTTCCTGTCACTATCTCCCAATAGGCATGGCTACCCAGACTTCCTGAACACTTTTGCTTTGGGCTTTACCCTCAGGTCCTACTCCCAGGAAGCCTTTTCGTTTGACTGAGAACCATTAAGACAGGCCCTTTAGTTTTCGGCATTTCTCTGGATATCATGTTCACTTCTACTGTTGTTTGTCTAACATGGCTATCTCTTTGTAACCCATCTCCCCCATGAAGCCTAACTATTTAGCTTACTTACAATGTCATGGTAACCTAATACTTCTTCCATGTTTTGGCATTCTCTGGGTAATGCTACTGATGGCTCAGGACACCAATTTAATGCTTTGGTGTTATGCTCAGGGTAGACATGGAGTCAGTAATATCAGGTACAACATCTACCTACACAGAACCACTTTTTCGATGCCTGCATGTGAGGCTGCTTACTTCTCAGAATCTGGGCAGCTGTGGACTTGAAAGACGAAGCTTTCTCTGATGTATGAAGCAATCTCAGGTATGACAAGTCTTACCTAGCTCATGGGCCAGAGTGTAGGCTGCCTGTAGGCCCTCGTCCTTGATCACTGAGCAGCTCTTGTTAGGGTCACAGATGGTGCCGACGTCTGCCATTCCCAGGGTGTCACATTGTTCCCCTTTCCCACAGAAATTCTGTTTGGTGATGAGAGCATGTTAGGTTGTAGAGATAGTCATGGAGAGCAGAGGTAAGTGCCCAGAGTCTCACTCAGCCTTCTGAGAGATAGTAACCTGATGCCACAAACATTACTGAGCCTTCTAAAGCATTTTAAAAAGAATGGGATAATCAGTGGAGTTCAGCTTCTAGACATCCCACCTAGTTGTTCTGCATTCTTGATTTTTCTGTCTTGGTTGTGACAGCTAGTTCACCTACCTTCATCTAATCTGTAGAGGGACCCAAGAAATGCTTTATTGTTGTATAAGTACCACTTGCAAATCAATTGTGCTACTGGAGCTCAGACATGCATTATTGTTAAACAATATCAATACCAGCAACACACACACACACACATACAAACACACAAGAAAGAGGAGAGAGGAGGGAGAGAAGCACAGAGAGAGTAACACACAGAGACACACACACACACACACACACACACACACACACACACACACGGCAGTAGGAGGTGGCACCGAGTGACGATTGACTTGGCTGGGACTTCAAAGGCTTGCTTTGGGATGTAGAGCTTCACAGTTGCTCGGAGTCTGGCCCTGCAGTAAGATTGCTTGGGCTTAACCATGGGCACCACTGCTGTATGGCCTCTTGGTGCCTCAGTTACCTCTGTTACAAAATGGGTATAACATGACTTCACCTCCACCTGTGACTCTTGTGAGGACTAATGAAACAGGCAAGGCCTGGCATACATGACTGTGCTCACTGGCCTTCAGGAAAGCTGTTTAATTAATTCACCACAGCTGCCTGTGTGACAACCCCCAGCAATCCTTAGGTTATCATCCCTGTGCCTAACTGGCCTGAAGACAGAACCCCTTTCCCATTTCCATTTCCAGACCTCTTCCAGGGCAGCTTGAATCTGTTTCCTCTTGGTATGACCTCAGCGGACAGCTGGTCACAAACTTTTGGAAAAGAGCCCTTATAAGATTTTTCTCCCCTTGCAATGGCCTCACACTTGTCCTCATGACCCCCTTCTCATCATTCCAGAAAGAGGCCTCCCAAGTCCAGCTGGAGCCAGCAGGGAGACAGTTCCCATGTTTGGGCAGGCCTCAAAGCTCTCCCTTTGATCTGCTCATCCCATCTCCCATCTTCCTTGGCTTTGAGAGCCAGCTCACACACCTGTCTGGTGAACAGAATGGCAGTGTCATAATGCTCTGGGTGGCGGTCGCTGGGCTTGTTGAAGCGCCGCTGCCAGTTGCAGAAGTTGCGCAGTGTGAGCCCACCGTTGTCCGATACCTCTGGGCCCCATCCTTCCTCTTCCACTATCAGCACTTTTACCACCACAAGGTTGATGGAGTTCCTGATGCTCGGGTGCTTGTAGATTCGGGCAGCCATTGCCATCACTGTGAGGATGTGGTTCTACCAGGAAGGGGGAACAGTGATAGAATACTAATCACTATCATGTCCTTGGCTGCCCAATGCTACCACTTATCTCACACATGTCAGACTCTGGGCTGAGCCTTAGATATGTAGCATCTCATGAGGATTAGGAAAACATTCGAGAACTTGGTGCTATTTCCCCAGAGAAGAACAAGCCTCAGTGACTAGTCTAAGATCACAAAGCTAATGAGCCGTCATCTGCACCCAGACCTATTTGGTCACAAAACTTGAGCATTTAAGCTCCAGAGCAGGTCATGGGGTGACCTACTTCCTAGTAATTAATTAAAATTCAAGACAGTCAGTTCTTCCATTGCACCAGCCACATTTCAAATCCATCAACAGCTGCACATGGAGCATGGATGTTGCATTGGAACTGTAAATAAAAAGTTCTCTTGAGTTGGATGGCTTATTCTGACTGTCCAGGACACCAATTGATTCCTTTCCAAGCACCCCCATCTCCTCTGGCTTTACTCCAGAATCAATAGTCTAAAGACTCACAGTCAGTGGACTTTCCCTCTTAGGATCTGTCTGAGCATTTTCCTGGTGTTCACTGGGATAACTTCTACTTTTTAGCATGGAAACTGTTAACTCTGAAAACTTTGTTCTAATAGTTACCCTTAGCAACAGTCACTCTGTAGATGTCATTGGCCATAGTTGACACATCACTTCATTGACTACTCACAGTAACTATAGGTCAGGTATTATGAATGAGAGAGTCATTCAAGTTCAAAAAGTTCTTTTAGAAACTACTCTTAAAGCCAAGATACCAGCCCAGGTGTGTGTCTGAGGTCCACACTCCTCTCTGGAGGTCCCTAGAGTTCAGATTTCTGGTTTCTGCCTGGACAGTTGCTTCCCTCCGCCCCAGTATTTATTCACTTCTATTTGGGACCTGAGAGAAGCCGGAGGGCCTAATGAGACCCACATGCTGAGGATCCCACCTGCTCTCAGTTCCAACCAGGCCAAATGAAGGGCCTGTGATCTTACATCATTAGTTGGCCTCTGGCCTATCCTTGAGCTGCCAACTGCTTTCTTGCTGGATTCTGAGGCTTTGAGGGGAGGCCAGAAGGGAACTTATTGTCCTGCCTCCAGGACCTTGTGGATTATTTTTCAGAGGCAGGGACAGAGGGTGACAGGCTGGCATGCCTTCAGCCCATGGTGTGGCCAGCTGAGCAGTTGCTTGCATGCTTTGCCCATTTTTGCTCCCTGGAGCTTCATGTCCCTCAGCTCCTCTCTCTCTCTGTTCTCCTGTGGTCTAAAAGGTGGGAGTAGAAGGAGAGGAAAGGCTATAGAGAGGACATTCCATCGAGGAAGGTCATGTGTGGGAGTTCCAGATGCATTCCTTATTTGTGAATGGGCTCTGTCTGTTCATTCTGTAGGCAATAGAGCAGATGTTTCATTAGACCTACGAACAGGTTGGTGGGTTTCTGAGCTCAGGTTATTCAGCAGGCCATGCACTCCAGCTTATTCAGGCTGATGTAAACATCTTATCAGCAAAGCTTCAATTTGGTATTTGTTCCCTGAGTTGGCTTGCTGAGGGGAAAAATGCAATCATATCCTTATGCAACTGGGGGCGAGTCCTGAGGAATGGCAGCTTGTGAGACAAATTCCTGGCCAGATCTTCACTGCTTATTGAGAAAGGATAGACAGTCTGCTGGTCTGCCTGGTGAGGCTAGGATCTGACTGGGCCAACCCCTGGGAATCTCTACTGGAGCAATCTGCAACTATCCTTCCAGGATTTCTTCTTGTTGAGTCCCAGCTGCAAATCTGAAAACTAGGGAGGCGAGGTCTTTTCAAAACAGTGTGAGGCCAAGATGCTGGCTTCTAGGTATTCAACCAAGGAGGTCTACTATGAGGAATTGGAAGATCTGGGGACTGTATATGCAAGCTGACCAGACCAAACCAGATTAAGAGTGACAGATGATACACTAGACCCTCAGGGAAAAGACAAATGGCTATGTGAATGGAGTACAGGATAAGGACTCCATGAGATCCTTTTCTCCAGACACTGAACATCTGTCAGGCTGAGATGGCAAGTGAATCACTGCCTCCAGGCGACAGCTGGCTATGAAGACATCTTAAGTTCTTCCTTGTCACTGAGTATCTCACAAGATAATGTGCATAGTGGAGGGCCACACAGATTCTATGGTCCAATGTTCCTTTCAGAACCTCTGTTCCTTGTTTCACTGAGAAACAGGTCATCTCCACTATGTTCCATGTCCAGCTGGATTGTCTAGATACTGTGACAGGAGCTCTATGTCCTAGTTCATGTCATAGTTCTCCAGGGACAAGGATTGCTGAGCTTGGGCTAGGCGTGTCACCTGGAGTCTGTAAGCTTCTGAATCCCCATCTGTTCTCTGGGTCCTGAAGGACAGACCCAACTTACAGATACAGGGAGCAGGTGCCAGTCAAAGAAAAGGTCAAATGGCTTGCTTGCTCTGCCACCTGGTGTCTATTTATACACCCCTGCTTACCACACAAGCATGAACTGAGTTAAAGAGTGGACATGCAAGTCTTTCCCCTATTGACTGAGGCTCTTGTTGTTTGGCAGAGAATCTCCAGAACTATCCCATAACCATTACAGGCAAGTTGAGTCAAACAACTTAATTTTGCTTAGGTAAAGGTGGCATTTCTGTGGGGGCGCTTCTCTGTCAGTATCCCCAGAATTCTTGGAGCTACAAGTATGAACATTCCTTCTTCAGGTTCTTGGATGCTCCTATGACAATCAAAGCCTACTTTTGGGATCCTTGTAGAGGCTGAGCCTTGGCAAAGTTCACTACTAGTGGCTCCTCTTCCTGGCTATAATGTCAGCTATAGTACTTTGCTTATTTGCTCTCACACGGTAGATACTGAACTAAATACCATGTAGCATGCCCAGGGATGTCAGAAGAGTGGCAATGTATGACCACATGTGGCATTCTTCCTCTTATTTCCAGGTGTGACTTTAGGCCCTCAGATAGTGCTGTATGTAGGAAAGGGGGGCAATGAGAGAGGAAAGAGCGAGACTCACATAGCCATCCTTCATCTCACCTTATTCCCCAAACAGCAAAAGGGGTTGTTGTAAAAGCTATCCTTATTCAGAACCGCCAGAAACCAACCCTAAACATCCAGAGCTGGGGCAATCTGCAAAGACGTTTTTTCTGCCATGTGGTACAGTAAAGCTGAAAAGCAATGGCTAGCATTCCAATGATGTGTAGCCACACCATTATACCCACTCTGACAAATGCTTTTTATCACCAAAGGTGACTAGGAATAGCTGAGCCTTGCTGACCACCAGGCCCTGGCTCAGATGTGTTTCATGCTTGGCTATGACTGCTCCTATTTCCCTGGTAAAATAATAAAGGTACAGAGAGATAGATACCTGTCTAGAAACTCTCAATTACTTCTATTTTCTTAAGTCTATGTTCCTGGCCACTATACTACCATCAATCTTGGCTGCTACAAGGAAAACCAAACCCAAAGTCTGCAAGCAAATAAGCAATGCAGGCTTACCCTGCCATAATCTACCCACCCCCAATATTTGCATATTTGGGGATTTTCTTTGGGAATAAACATCTTTGGTCATTCTGACTGTAATAGATGCAAGAGATGGAAAGGACTCATTGTTGGGAAGGTGGGTTGAACATAATTAATGTGACACAACAGTCTTCCACCCATGAAGACTGACATAGCTACAGAGCTGATGGAGTCTATACCTGTCTCTCCCTCTAATATCACTATCACACCTCTGACATTAAGAGATGATACTATTTTTTTTATGCTACCAGGCAGGGAGGGATTCCTCTGGGCAAACCAGTGTATAGGATAACTATGGTACTTGGGCTTGTAGGAAGCATTCACTCCAAAAAGTAGAGGTAAATGAGATGGCTGCTACAGCCTCTTCCTGGATCATCTCCCAGAACCCTGACATCTGGGAATGCTCCAGTCTACTTTGGGGAAGAAGAACACCACTCCTAGGCCCTCCCTGCTAAGAAAGCTCAGGAGGTCTGCCTACTGCTGGGACTTTGTACTGCTCCAAGGTAACCGAGGGGCCACTTAGTAGCATCTGAGATGTAGACACAGTTAATGGACTCTCCCAAAGTGGTCCCTCCTGTCAGAAATTCTCCTTTGTCCCAACTCTGATAGAAATCGCTGCTGTTCAGGCCTCCAGAATTCCTGAGCTACTGAAGCAGGACATCTGGTTCTGCCCCAGGTTAAGCTGACTTCTGCTGGAGGTCCAGGTGTGTTGCTCATATAAGTTGACTTTTTCTGAGAAAACCAAGTCTTGATACTTTAAGAATGGGCTGATTCAAACCCACCCCCTCCATGCAGAGGCCAGTCCTTAACATGTAACCTGCAGGAAAGCTCTGAGCGATTCATCCACACAGATAGAAGGCACTTTGGGGTGTCTTTGGGTAATGGGGTGGGCAATGATGATGACAAGAGCCCCTGATCCTCTAAGGAACAAGAAGACACTTGGACAATGTAATGGATTCTGGTCTACACATCTGTGAGACTGCTTCATGATGAGCCCTTAACTCTGAAACCAGATAAGAAGGTGGGAGGTAGAGGTCCCTCTTGTGAAGGGATTAAGTGAACTCACTTACAGAGTTCTGGTAAATGTCATTGTCACTAGAGTGACACCTGTCACTAGCAGTGACAGTCTAGGTCATAGCTGATTCTTTCTTGAAGCTTTGAAGATAACAGTGGTTTCTTCTAAGAATGGGGCTTGGCACTTTGGGGGGCATCTTGAGACTGCTGGATTTAAAAGGAGCCATTACAAAGGAGACAGCGGTGAGAGTGTGGTTAGAACCACTCATGAGAATATGCAGTGTGGTACAACAACAAAGAATGCTAGCATTAGGTTCAGGAAATCTGGGGTGTGTGGCAAATCTAGCTTGCCACACTTACTAGAGTGACCTTAGGAAAGTCACAAGTCCTCTTTGAGCTGTATACTTTTCCTCTCTCTGAAGCATTTCTATTGAGGTCCTGCATGTAAAACCATTCTTAGAGAATGGCTGAATCTTCCAGAAGTTGGGCTCATCATAAGGCAGTCTCACAGATGTGTAGACCAGAATCCATTACATTGTCCAAGTGTCTTGTTCCTTAGAGGATCAGGGGCTCTTGTCCTCATCATTGCCCATCTCATTAGCCAAATACACCCCAAAGTGCCTTCTATCTATGTGAATGAATTGTTCCGTCTCCCTGCAGGTTACATGCTAAGGACTGGCTTCTGTGTGAAGGGGGTGGGTTTGAATTAGCCGAGTCTTAAAATAGCAGGACTTGGTGGTTTTCACAGAGAAAGTCAACTTGTATGAGCAACAAACCTGGACCTCCAGCAGAAGTCAGCCTAACCCGGGGCAGAACCAGATGTCCTGCTTCGGTAGCTCGGGAATTCTGGAGCCTGGACAACTGTGAGTTTTGGAGATGCCAAGTACATCCTTGAAGGAAATGTTTAACATCTCAGTATTTAAATGAGGAGTTGAGGGAGGTGCTAGGGAGGACATCTTGGCTCTGAGTTCTGAAAAACTGGCTTTCCTGCAATTTCTCCTTGTTGTTCTTGGTCTTTCTACATTTTGGCTGTCAAGGATGTCAGAGACTGGTCCAATTGGGGGATAGGGGTGTAAGTTTTAGTTCTGGGTTTGTTCCTGTGGTAGCCTGTAGCCAGGTGCATTGGTCTTAGTGAACTGGGAAGCCCTCTCCTCACCCTTTTTTACATCTCCAATACATACTGGGGGAAAGGAGTCAGAAGTGGCTGGTGCTTCCTCTTAGAGTAGGCAACAAATCAAATATCCATCAGCACCGATTAAACCTCAAGGGTCTGATGGCTCAGAGCTGTCTTGCAGTGCTCTGAGCAGAGCCAATACCACAAAAGCATGCAGGGATCCTGCCCCAGGTTTAACTGGTCTGTGCAGTAGATAGACCAGCAATCATTTGGACTTCTCACCCACAGCATTTCCTGTCCTCTCCATCTGGTTTTTACCGAAACTTTCTCATGAAGCACAGAAAGGCGGGAATGACCTGATGAGAAGCAGAAGGCTGTCTGTCTGTCCCCTTGTCTGGCCATTCTGCAAAGGTAATGTCCATGTCCTTGGCACCCACAACACTCAGGCACAGGCTGAGGCTAAGATGGAGACCCTAATAAAGGGCACCACCACTGTCAAAGTGCTAACTGGGCTGCTGTGGTTCTGGGATCTCTGACTGGCGGATCTGTGATCTCTGGGCAGGTCGGTTTCCTCTAGCTGAGCTAACATTTCTAGTTCTGTATGTTCTAGAAGATGGGACCCTTATCCCTTCTCCTTTTGTAAAATCTTTGTCCTGTCTTGGGAGGGAGGTATTGGGGTGGTGGTGGTGGTGGTATGGTGATGGTGGTGGACATTTCTTGCTGAGTCAGCACCAACTACATGTAGTTAGGAATGCTCAGCTACTAGCCTACTAGCGACAGTGTCCTGGACTCAGTTTTCTCTGCCAGGTCATTTGAAAGCTGACTCTGGGCTGAGGGTGGCTGGTCAGCTCTGGTTCCTTTAGACACAGTAAACTGAAAAACTTCACCTTTAACCCAGCTCCCTCTCTTGTCACTGAAACTTCAGTTTTCTGGGCTGAACCCCCAAGGCAGAAATTCTGTTCTCCTCCCTTCTTGTGCTGGATGCTGGCATTGCCAAGTTCTGCCGAGGCTGAGCGCCAGGTTGGCAAGGTAGCTCGTGCCCCTTGATCAGAACCAGCTGGGCGCACACAAGTTGGAAAGCTTCCTTCCAGGTTCCTCTAACTTCTTTTACTTACAGGAACCTCAGTTCTGTACCCAGACAGTCCCAGCCACCTCGTCCCAGCTAGGGAGCATCAGAGAGTCACCGACACTAGAGACTAGAGAGTTGTAGGAAGCTGGCCCAAGAGGAGCAGGATTCTTAAAGGAAAAAAAAAAAGTGCAGTTTTCATGTCCTTTGGGAGAAAGCAGGTGCCTGGGGACTGCGGGAGACTCAGGATGCCAGCTCGGAAGAATCAGAGCCAGCACTTCTACTGTAAATTGGAAGGGACTTAGGGGTTGGGAAATAGGAAACCGGGATAGCAGAAGTTAATGGAGTTACTGCTCTTTCTCAGAAAGGAGAAAGTCCCCTTTGGGGTTGGGCTTGGGAGCTCGAAGAGTCCCCCCTACCCCACCCTCAGTGGGAAGGGAAGAATTGAGAGTCGTTTGGGAAGAGACGGATGTTATCGACTGTTAGCATCCGCGGGAGGTTCTCGAGTCCTACCTGCAGGTCTGTCCCATAGAAGGCAGCCATGGACGCATCAGCCACCAGCAGTGTTTCCACGAAGCGAGCCTCGGACACAAACCTTTTGCTCCTAGTTTTGGATCTTAAGGGTGGTGGCAGTTCGCTGGAGTCTTCTCTCTTTTTGCGCAACCCCTCTTTGTCCTGCTCCCTGTCCTCTTCGTCGTCACTTCTCTCCGGTCCCTGCCCCTCACCCATCTCCACCTCCCACTTGAGTCCTTGAGGGACAGGGAAGACTTCGGCAGCGGCGAGCCCGGGGTCCTCCCTGTGCTGCCCCGGCCCCCAGCGCTGCAGGCGGTGAGGCTGGTCCAGGGAGTCCCCTGCGCCTTGCGGCTGGATGGTGAACTCCTCGCCTGCCAGCAAGAAAGAGCCGCTCAGCCCGCGACACAGGCTCACCGCCGCCAGTGACTCTCGCTCCCCATTCACCGTGCCAGAGAAGAAGCAACCGCGCAGCCCCGGTTCGCCCCCGGCCGCAGCTCCGGAGCCCCCGAGACGCTCGATCTTGAACTCGGGTGCCAAAAAGCTGGCGTCAGGCGCCAGGCGCAGCACGAAGCCCTGGCCGAAGGCAGACAGGTGGAAGGCGAGCTCGCTCGTGCTGCCCGGCAACCGCGTGGGCACCAGCAGCTCCGAGGCCGGCGCCCTGGTGCCCGGCTCTGCCGGGGCGCCGCAGACGAGTGGCGGCGGCGGCAGCTGCAATAGCAGCAGCAGGAGGGGCGGCCACCGGGCGGCGGTGGGGTCGAGAAGCATGGGGGCAGAGGGCTGCGGAGCACGGGAGAGGGAAGAAGGCAGCCGCGCTCAGGCAGGTGCTGGCGGCCAAAGGCGGCCGGGCCGCTCTCTCCAGGAAAAGTGATCAATCAGAGGGAGAGGCCGACTCGGCCAGCGGCAGCAGGCGCGGCGGTCCCCTGGCGGCCACTCCAGTTCGCGCAGCCCGCTCCTCCTGCGCCAGCCAGCCAACCTAGCGGATCTCGAGCAGCTGGCGCCCCGGACTGCGAGCGCTCTCCTCCACGCTGTCCGGTGCAGTCGCCTCCTTCCTCGGGAAGCACCGAGTGGGCTGCCGAGCCCTTCGTATTTATACTTCCTTCCCGGCTTTGACATAAGAGGTTTATTTTTGATCTCTCACTATTCCCGTTTCCCCTCCCCTGGGGTCAGAGACCGAAACAGAAAAGAGGGAGAGGAAGAAAAAAAAAGGTTGAAATGTAAAACCAATCAGGAGTCAGTGAGCCCCTCCCCATAGTTAAGTAGTTAAGTGGCAACTTTAGCGTTTTTTCTTTCTTTCTACGTGACGACCCATGCCAATTCCTCTACTGCTGGACAGCCCCTAAAGGCAAGTACTAGAGGAGGGAGATGCTAGCCTCTTCCTGTGCTAGAGCCAGGTGCTGGGGACACTGCACACTATCTTGAAGAGGCTTCTGCATTGGTCTCAGCGACAGTATGCAGATTCCTGTACAGACCTGGCAATGTTAAAAGAAATTTTTGGAGACGATTCCAGAGCCTTTAATGGTAAAACACAAGTGAGAGAAAGTCACACTGAAATCACGCTGGTCACTAAGACCACCGCAGACCTAAAGAAAAAAAAAAAAAAGCCGGGTCAAGGCTAGCAAGGACTCTTAATTGCTTGTTTCTGAGGATAGTGGGCGCTGAGAAGTAACCACCAACCAGGCAAAGTGCATTGAGTACCATTAAGCTCCCAGTTCGCCTCGGAGGAAGCATTTCTTCAGGCTGTCTTCCATCATACACTTCTGCTGCCAGTTGCCTTGGTGACACGAGGAAAGGTCCCCTTTACTGCATTGCCCAGAGCTCCAAAACAAAACAAAACAAAACAAAACATACATACATATATACATACATGCATACGGGAAACTAATTCACTCTGCCGTACACTGCATCTTCCTGTAGAAGAGTGGGACCCACGGAAAGTGATGACAGAGTCTTAAGACCACAAAACTAACATTTGTATCCACTTCGGTCTTAAGGGTGCAGATCTAGATTGGATTCAGATGCCTGTTCTCTCAGTACCAGTCCAAACCCCCCCCCCCCCCGTGCCCCTTCTGATCAGCCAGCACGGAGGACATGCCATTTGCCAGCTCACCTACCCATAATTACGCTGCTTATGCTTGTGCCCACAGCTGAGAGAAGCCCTGACACCCTCAAGTCCTCTCTGCTTTTACAGCAATGCAAATGGGCAGTTGAGAACCTTCAAGGTACCAAGCCCTCTGAATGTGGGTGCCAGCTAGGAGCCAAGACAGTCTACGGGTCCTCTAACAGTGGAGGCAGTCTTTATCCCTAGAGCACATAAGGACTTTGGGAGCCCATTCCCTATGGAGGGTTACTATTGCAGCCCAGATATAGCAAGGAGGGTCTAGGCCCTTCCCCAAACGATATGACAGACTCTGAAGATCCCTGGTGGAGGGTCTCATTATCTTGGGGAGGAGTTCGGGGATGGGTTGGGGGGGTTAGTGGGGAACATGGGAGTATGGGAGGGCGAGGGAATGGGGGGGATGGATATGTAAATATGAGTAGTAATTAAAGAATTTAAATAAAAAAGGGAGAACGTTCAAGGTGCAGAATCTCCTTCGTGTCCTGCACAGAGAATTGGAAGTTTGGGTGAAATACTCCTAGAGGCAGGGGAATGGAAAATATCAGTGCTTCGACTCTACTGAAAATGAACAAAATGCTTATTCCACAACAGTTTAATACCCCTGGGACCGTGAGACCTGTATAGAGAAATGAGTAATCCCATTTGCCTCAGGGCTGAGGTGACATTTCAATTACTGGTCTTTGCCGGTAAGTCCCTTGTTCACCATTTTCAAGTGTGGAACTCCTTCCCCCTTCCCCTTTTTAAAGACAAGGTCTTGACTACACAGCCCAGGCTTGCCTTAAACTTCTTAGTCTGTCACCTTAGCCTCCTGAGCACTGAAGTCACAGGTATGTGCTGGAACCTTCTGCCTGGCTTTCAACCTTTGGTTTTCAATAGTAGTTAGATGCTTTCCCTGTGTCTTCTTTCTCCTTTGTAACTATTTGAGAAAAGTGTTTAACTCCTCTTTTGTGCTTAGACATCAATGGCTATAACCAAGCTAGGGGAACTGAATGTTGCTGGTGCTTTCAATTGGGAAGACTTTGGAAACTGCAGCTGCTACTGTTTTAAAATAGGAAGAAGGACCGCCTTTGGATGCCCCCTTTGGAGACAGCTGCTTTGGACTTTATCTTGCCCCATTTCATCAACAACCACAACTATAATCATACAACAATTGCGGACTGCCAAACTATCCCAGGAGCCAACCTGGCTGCCCTCTGCCTGCTCAGTTCATCTTTCTAGGAGGTTGCCTCCATGGTAACTTCCAGGGAAGTGCCTGCAATTTGCAGTGCAACCACAAGGTGTCACCCGTACCTTAGCTATGCTTAATCCTCTCCTTGCAGGAATGGTAGATGGCTTGGAGAGGAAACCCTTAAAACATGGTGGATGAAATCACTACAGCAAAAATAAACACCATCACACCCACCACTGAAAATCTCAAATGGACCAATTATGGAGTTCCTATATTACCATTTTTGTCCCCTCAAAGAATATCATTGCCAAAAGGGTAGGCAAACTGTGGTTTGTGGGCTAAGATTGTTTTTGTACACCCCACATGCAATATAAAAGTGTTTTGCATATTTTAAGGGGTAAATTAAAAAACAGACTATTAACATTTCACGACATGCCAGGTGGTGGTGGTGTACGCCTTTAGTCCCAGCACTTGAGAGGCAGAGGCAGAGGCAGGAGGATCTCTGTGAGTTCGAGACCAGCCTGGTCTACTCTACAAGAGCTAGTTCCAGGACAGCCTCCAAAGGCGACACTTGAAAATTCCATGATTCAAACTTCAGTGCTTATAAGAAAGTTTACTGACAGCAGACATTCATGGACACTTTGGCTGCATTTGAGCTGTGAAGGGTATGGCTGGATGAGCTTAAACTATTTACTATTTGAGCCAGTTGGTGGTGGTGCACACATGCCCTTAATCCCGATATTCAAGAGTCAGAGGCAGGTGGATCTCTGTGAGTTCCAGGCCAGTCTGGTCTATAGAGTGAGTTGAGTTCCAGGACAGCCAGGGCTACACAGAGAAACCTTGTTTCAAAATACCAATATCTATATTATCTGGCTCTTTCTATAAAAAGTTTGTTGGCTGAAGGTAAAACAGTGTTACTTTGAATTCTTTAAATTTAGAGTATGGGATGTAGGAGCCACCTATGTGATTCTTAGGAAGTAAGAAGGCTCAAAATAATTTTTTTTGCTCTGAATATGAATAGGAAATATGAAAAATTAAGATGTCTCTGTTTTGTCTTTAAATTTTTATTAAGTAGTCATTCATTATTTAATAGCATTTAAATAATTAATTAGTTTATACTGGCTTATTTTGGTTTTCTTAAAATTTGTTTAGATTTATTTATTTTACTTTGTAGGTATGAGTGTTTTGCCCAAATATATGTATATGAACCACATGTGTTCCCATGGAGGTAAGAAGAGGGCATCAGATCCCCTGGAACTGGAGTTACAGACAGTTGTGAGCTGCCATGTGGGTGCTGGGAATCACACTGAGATCCTCTGGAAGAGCAGCCAGTGCTCTTAACCTAAAAGTCTTCATTTGTTTATGTGCATGTTTGTGTGAGTGTATGTGCATGTGTGCATATTCTGCACATGTGTGGAGGCCAGAAGGTGGCATTGAGTATCCTACCTTACCACTCTCTGCCTACTCTTTTGAGGCAGGGCCTTTCCCTCAGCCTGGGACTTACCTTTTCTTGGCTTGGTTGGAAGCCAGCAAGCCCCAGAGAGTTTCCTGTCTCCATTTCCCTTGGATAAGGGATGTTGTGGGTACTCATGACTATGCAGTAAGTTCTCTTAACTCGTGGGCCATCTTTGTAGTCGTGAACTCCAAGTTTTTAATTAATTCGTACTATTTCTCAGTTAATCACTAGAATTTTATACAGTGCTTATTCCATGAATGTATAGTGTGTCCTAAATTCTGGTAGTCTCTAGGCTTCTAGATTCTTTCAGAACTGGAAGAAACATGAGTGGTCAACTATTCCACTTCTGTTTGCAATTTGAAGAGGTGGGCAAAGGCAGGTTTCAGTGACTTATTCAAAGTTGTGTAAACACTGATGGCTTCCTACCATAAATGCTGTGGTACCTTCTTCAGGGAGAGAAAGACTGCCTTGCTCCAAAGTTTCCTTTGTAATTTGTACTTTTTTATTAACACTGACTGCAAACTATAGGTGAGGTATTGTCTCCTATGCTCATTTTCATTGCCTTGGTCACATTTGCTCCACAGTAGTGACAGTTGTCATCGTTTGAGTGCTTGCTGTGTGCCAAGCACTCAGCTGAAGAGGGACTCACACAGGTGAAGAAACAGGCTTGGAGCTCTTAAGTAAAATGTGCTCAGGGTTATTGGCTAACAGGTGGTAGACACAGGCTTCCTCACCAAAGCCAAATGCTAACTAAATAGAACATTTCTGGGGAGGAACATCTCACACACAGTTAACCATGGTATTAGAGAGCTAGAGAGGAATGCTGGGGTTTCATTGGGCCAGTGTTCTTTTTTGGGAGGATGCTTAGAAATCTCTTTTTCTGCAACCTGGTCCTTTAATGTTTCAAAGAAAGAAATAAAATGGCTTCTCTCAGAGTCCAGCTATTAGCCCTTAAACATAAACAAAGTTCATTCCTCCAAAACCTTTCTGTGCCACAAGTCATGTCCATTTTCTGTCATTTTAGC